AGGGGGAACAATCCCGGCCCCACTGCCAACCACCCTTGGGATGGGCCGAAGGTTGGAAGGGCACCGAGCTCTACTGGTTCTCCGTGACCTTCCCTCTTTCCACTGCCTAGGCCCACCGCACTTCCCCCTCCCCAAGAGCACCGGAATTTGCCGCTCAGGCAAAGAAATGTAATTGTTCAGATTGTAACTGTTGAGAAACGGTGAGTAATATTTTCAGTGTTATTAAATACCAGCATTCTCCATAGTTAAATAAAAATTAATAATCATGGTTTCAATCAAAAGAATATCTGGGGTTATTTCAGAAGAAATGGGGAAGGGTGTACACAAAGGCAAGCAAAATTCACAGCTTGCCACTTGTCATCTCTCCTAGCACAATCATTAATTTAATTCAGATACACACATCCATAAATGTGGGTTGTTAGGTAGTTGTTGCATTCATAACCCCACTCATCTTTGATTTTCAAACTAAAACTCCCAGTCATTAACTAAAGACATATGAAGTACAAATGGGTGAAAGCAGGGTATAGGAAGGAGTCACCCTGTGTCTTACTTCTTGTGAGCTCAGGGTTGCTGGCCACAGGTTCCACAGGTCAGTTGCTGGCCACAGGTTCCACTTCCCACTCAGCCATTGCGAAACTGCACAGTTCGGCAGCTGTAGCCCCAACAGTTTTGTCACTGCTTCCCAACACCCTCCCCAAAGGGCAGTGCCTTCTCCCTTCAGTGATGCTCAGTGTTGGATACTAGAGTATTTCCCGTGACTCACTTCATGAACTGCTGGCTTGTTGTCTGTGGAAGCAGCCCTTACCAGAACACATGGCCTAAGAAAGATCAAGCAACCAGTGTGGGGTATCAGAAGCCTGAAAGAGCACAGCCTAAGCATTAAGGACGTTCATGCCAATGACCACATATGCAGCAGGAGCAGCATCTCTTTGCATGTTCTGCCTAGGACAAACCGATCAATCTCTATGCAAAAGGATAAAGGAACACAAATCTGAGATTAAAATATAAAGCAGTATTTGGAAACCAGTGGAAGAATGTTTCATAACAGTGAGACACACTGGCAGCGATCCTAAGTATGCTTTCCTAATAGGAAGCCCCATTGAATAAAAAGAAAAGAATGGGACCTGCTTAGCCTTCCTTGACCTAAACGTCACCATTTTTCATCAGAACCACTTTAAAGAGAAATTCCAGCATGAAACTGAACTGCTGAACTAGAATTCGTCAAGACATTAAGAACATAAGAAGACCCCTGCTAAATCAGACCAATAGTGCAGCATTCTGTCTCACACGGTGGCCAACCAGTTCTTTTGGACGGCCAACAACAGGACAAGACCTTCCCCTGATGTTGCCTCCTAGCTCTGGGATTCAGAGGTTTAGTGCCTCTGAGTGTGGATGTTCCCCTCAGTCACCATGACTAGTAGCCACTGATAGACCTATCCTCCATTAATCTATATAATTGCTTTTTTAAGCTGTTGATTCCTGTGGTCATCACTATATCCTGTGGCAGTGAATTCCACAATTAATCACTCTCTATGTAAAGTGGCATTTCCTTTTGTCTGTCCTGAACCTACTGTCCATCAGCTTTATTAGATGCCCTTGGGTTCTAGCCTTTTGGGAGAAGGAGAAAAAGTTCTCTTTGTCAACTCTCTCCATCCCATGCATAAGTTTATAAACTTCTATCGTGTCCCCTGTTAGTCGTCTCTTTTCTAAACTGAAAAGTCCCAGACTCTTCAGCCTTTCTTCATAGGGAAGGTGCCCCAACCCCCTAATCATCTTGATCACCCTCCTCTGTACTTTCTCCAGCTCTGTGATGTCTTTTTTGCGATATGGTGACCAGAACTATACACAGTATTCCAAATGACGCCACACCATAGATCTATACAGGGGCATTATAACAGCAGACATTTTATTTTCAATCCCTTTACTAATAATCCCTAACACAGAGTTTGCCTTTTTCACTTTTGCAGCACACTGGGTTGATGCTTTCTCTGAGCTATCCACTATGACCCCAAGATCTTTTTCCCTCTCAGTCTCAGCAACTTCAGACACCCATTAGCCTATACTTGAAGTTGGGAATTTTTTTGTCCCAGTATGCATCACCTTACAATATGCATCACTTTACCGGTTGAAACAATACTTCCCTTGCCCCTAGAAAAATGTTCCCAAAGAGGGGTACACACACATCCAGACTTAACAATTTACTGACCTTTAAAGGTAAAGGTTCCCTTGCTCGAAAGCCAGTCAAGTCCGACTCTAGGGCTGCGGTGCCCACCTCCGTTTCAAACCCAAAGAGCCAGCGCTGTCCGAAGACTTCTCCGTGGTCATGTGGCCGGCATGACTAAACACCAAGGCGCACGGAACGCTGTTACCTTCCCACCGAAGTGGTACCTATTTATCTACTTGCAATTTCTTGCTTTCGAACTGCTAGGTTGGCAGGAGCTGGAACTAGAGACGGGAGCTCACTCCGTCATGCGGCACACTCGAGTCTCGAACTGCTGAACTACTGACCTTCCACAGCCTGCAGTTCAGCGTCTTAACCACTTGAGCCACCGCAGCTCCTTTTACTGACCTTTACACATTACTTAAATTTAATCTGATTTTAATTTTAAAAGGTATCGGAATTGATAAACTAGTCTGCCATTATACAAACAGAAAGGATATAAACTGTAAATAGTTATAGTATGTGTCGTATGTACTTCTTAAGTAGGAGTTATTATTATTCTCTTGCTCAGTGAGTCTCCAACTAACATCAACAAAATAATGAAAGGTATCAGAGTGAATGAGAATAGTTTTGAGCTCTTGTTCCTGCTTTTGAATCCTTCAGATAAGAAATCTTCAAAACCTGTTGTCCCACCCGAGTAAAATTGAATCTGCTACGCCAACAAACATTATTATATTAGGGCGTGTATGAGTCACATCAGGTTTGCACAATAAAGAATACAAAGAGGAAGCATGAAACAGATTTCAGACAATTTACTCAGCAAAAGTGTCACAACAAAGTTATGGGCCTCTAAGCCTTATGAAGCTGCTGATTAGATCCCGAACATTCATGCCGAGGTCCAAAATTGCTCTTTCACACATGTCCACGTGTGATTTGTGAAGTTTTACACTTGTTCAATGCTAAGAAAGAGCATGACAAAAGCAATGTTTAAGGCATTTCCATAAAGAAGCTTCTGCAGTCAGTTGCAGCCAAAATATTTCAACCTTCTTGACTGCTACTCCTACAAACTCATCAGAGACAAGCATTAGCAACTATAGTATAGCAACCTGAGTCAGACTCTTGACTGATTTTTTTTTGCTGAACATCTATTAAGATGTTCACAGGGAAAGTATATGCTCAGTTAGCCTTTTTGTGGAGATGAATTCATTTCTACTTCAAAGTAACAGTGAAAAACAAATTACATGTCCTGCTTGGCTCTCTTAGACCTGTTTGGGCAACAAATACTAATTATGAGGCTTGTTGTTGCTTCTGTTGCTTGCTCAGTGAAATATGTACAGTACTCTATGTTATATTAACGATGTATATATTAACCTTAAGTTTAAAATTTAAGGGTTTTTTTCCTGTTGTCAGGCTATTACATCACATTTCAGAACAATATGGTACACACACTTGAAAATTGCCACATCAGAAATGTTGCTAACACATCTAGCTCTTTAACTTGCCACACTACTCCTATTGTGAAATATCAGTGCTAATCCTGTTATTCCATCTCCAGAGACACATTATAGTTGGGTGCCAAGAAGCAAGTTTTTAGCAGTAGAATCCTAAACTGTTACACCATTTGGGTGTAACTCTGCATCAGCCTGTGCTGTAATATTACAGCAACCAAGCATAAGATGAAAGATCATATAATTTATTTTTCATTACTTCTACGTATTTAAGTAGATTGCGTTTTGGATTGTTCACACACGTCTCAATGTGTATGTGGTGGCTGTGTGACACCGTGAGCCCTGACGTCATCAGTAAGCCAACAGAATACAAGACTGATAGTTACTGCTTTGGTGGGAAGGGAACAGCGTTCCATGAGCCTTGGCGTCTAGTCATGCTGGGCACGTGACCACAGAAACATCTTCAGACAGTGCTGGCTCTTCAGCTTGGAAATGGAGATGAGCACTACACCCTACAGTCGGATTTGACTGGCTTTCGAGCAGGGGAAACCTTTACCTTACCCCGGTTTCTGGTTCGCAGTTTCATTTGTAAAGTGAACCTGTGTCAGCTCTTTCCTAAAAACAGATTTATGTGTAACATGTGAACAGGTCTACAGCGACTCAGTCATCACAGAGGCAGCATGTAGACTGGCCAGAGAACACACACTGCTTTATACGTGCCTCTTCTCTGCGTTCCTTCTCCTTCTTTTATGCTCCATGTTTTCATAACCGTTGCCCATTTCCCCATCAGTTAACTCAGGTCCCAGAGCCCTTTACGGCTCATTAAAAAAAAATTGGTTTGGATTTTTTTCCCCTCACACTGCGTCTTTTCCAGCTCCAAATCTGAGACACTGATCTGCTTGAGAAGTGTTTCTGGACTCGTTTGGACCTGGCATGTGACAAAAACAGGGCGACGACAGAAACGAATAGAACAAAGATACAATAATTCAGCGGCCCACGAAACCTTTCTCCCCTCCTCTCCCGATGCCTCCTAGTTTGTTAGTCTTTACAGCGCCAGAAGGCTCTGCATTTTCTCCTGCAACCGATTCAGACGCCTCCGAGATCGGCCGCTGCTTCGCTACGGTCCGTCCTCCACCGCGTTTGCTGCAAGGACCCAAAGCAACGTTGCCCCCGAGTCCAGCGTGGAAGGGCAGCCCGGGTAGGGCAGCCTCTTCTCTGCTTCCGGCCCTTCCACGCTGGACTCGGGGGTAACGTTGCCCGCCGGCCTCCGCTTCCCCCGAGATTCCTAGCGGTGCCCTACCGGCCAGGAGTCACGTGAGGGAGAGGGGCCCGCCGGGGCCACCGCCTTGGGAGTCACATGACCGCGCCTACTTCTTTCCCTGGCTCGGAAGCCATTTCCCGGAGTCTCATTTCCATTGCGACGGCTGGCGAGCAACATGCGGGCGATCGTGGTGGTGCTTCTGGCCGTGACTTCGGTGGCGGTGCTGGCGAAGGACCCGGTGAGTGGGAGGGCGTTCTGTCTCCACCCGGAAGCCGTTGCTGCTCGACGGCCCTGCCCGGACCCGCAAGTGATCTTTGCGGCGCCGGCGCTGGATTCTTGCTGTGCAGAGAGATGGCAGGGTTACAGCAGTCAGCCCGCTAGCTTCAGCTGAGGGGCAGGCGAAAGGCAGGGTTCGGCCCTGACGTGGGTCTCCCCCCCCCCCCCCCG